GAGGGGTGACACCACCACTGAGCACCCCATGGTTTTTTGATGGTAAATTGATTCTGGTTCATGCTGGGGGGACGGAGGGAGGGGAAGGGGAGGGGTGAACCCGCCGTCAGCACTTTTCTAAGTGGCCTTTGAAGGATGGATCCGTCGAAAGCTTGTCAGCGAACAGTGGTTTTCAGCAGATTTTGCCGTTCCCCGCTTCTTCTGAGTGCCTCGAGCCTCTCGTAGAAAGTTAAGTACGAAAAGAATATTGACTTCCCGTTGAATCAAATCAGTAATGAAATTTCATATAATCACCTAGCTACGTAATTGTCAGAATTTGCACTATTTTGGCAAGTATCCAACTTTTTCTAAACTTTCGAACTAGTGGATCTGTCCAAATTACCGATAGCCTTTCTTTGGTTCCTTTAGTAAATCATGGGAACCATTCGGATATTTGTTTCGTCCATCTGTTATCTGTCATCCTTGTCACATAACGAGCTTAGCTTCTTTTTGTATAAATCGTCATAAGGTATGAACAGAACGGGGCGCTTGAAATAGCATTATTTTCATTGAAATATATTCATTTTTTTTCTTTGTTTTTGCTTCAAAAGCTATTTCCCAGTGATTTTTGGCGTTGAAAATGTGCCTCTGTACTACTAACAAATGCCATAATTATATATATATATATTTTTTTTTTAAATTTTAGTTGCGCAAATTTTGCTTTTTCGGCTTGAACAGACAACTCTCGATTTGTTAATTTACGGCTGTGTGTGATCTGATTTTTAGATCAGTCGTCTGCTGGTGATTCGCAGGATGTAGATCCGGAACCGCAAGAAGGCCAGTTTTTCTCAGCACTCGACTTTATGGCACAAAATGGTGAGTTTTCTTGTCTTCTGCCTTAGATGTGTGTGTGTGTCTGTGTGTTCGTCTGTACCGATCTTTCATCTGGAGAGCTGGAAAAGCTAGGGGGCTGAAATTTTGGGAACTTAATCTACATGCATGTGCGGGCCTCCATCCCCAAAATGGTCGCTCCTACCCACGTGGGTCCCATGTATGGTCCCCTCGAATTTTTTAGCGGGTAAGCTGCTAACTCGGGAAGCAGAAAAGATAGAAATTTGAAATTTTTGGGAGATGTTCCCCGTCCACGTTGGTCTTGATGAGCTCAAACCCAGCCTCCAGGAACGAATGGTCCTCACATACGGGCCTGTGAAATTTCATTGCGAGTAAGTTGCTAACTCGGGAACTAGGAAAGCTAAAAAGCTGAAACTTTAAGGGAATGTTTCCTGACAGTCCTGGCAGCCAGTCTTAGTTCGTTTAGCTAGAAGCATGTGGCAGAAAAACCAGTGCCGTTAGCGATAAAAACCTGCAGGGAGTTTTGCAAAAAGCGTATCTTCGCACCGGCAGTCGGTACGCTTGCCAGTTGTTTTGACCCGAGCATCGTTTAACGAAATATGCTTTCCTGTTTGCTCATTAGTTTAGATGAAAATCTGTTTTTTATCCAAAAAAAAAAAAAGAAAACGCCGGATTCTATTAAAAAAGTCTCGGTGCAGGACTTGTTTGCTTGGATTTAAATCTCTATTTGAAAACTTAGATACAGTTTTTGTTCCCCGACGCATGCAAAAAAATTTCTACACACATTCTTTTGTAAGCATTGCTGTAACGGAATTCTTAGCTTTAATTATTTTCAGAAGTGAAGCAGCACTTCGCCAGAGACGATGGTAAGTGTTAATGGCAGTTTCTGCTGTCTTTCTGTTTCGGTAATAGAATTTTCGTTTGCTGAAAATCAAATTTTTTTAGTAATTTTAACATTTTC